TTTGTTTTCTCATCAGGAAATGCAGACCGGCTCAAACAAACGATTTTTAAATCATCATCCTCACGATCATTGAATGTATCATATGTTCGCCGAATTGACATGAAAGCACTAATAAATGTAGTTTCATCCACTTGAGTTTACAACTACAAAAATAATCAATTTGTTTTTATATCACATCCTACGGGAGGAAATTCAGCAGCTCTCACTACCGATTTTTAATCCTAATTTAATCATCATCTTCACCACGATCATTTATGTTTATGTTCGCCGAATTTACATGAAAGCACTGACAAATATGAATATACTGTAGTCAACTTCATTAAAACGTTATTAACGTGCTTAAACTCAGTAATTCACAATTTCTACGCATGACAACACACTTTGTCCGTGTTTGGCTCTCTCGCCGCACAGTGAAGTGTTCCCGCATTGACGTCACTTCCGGCTTCCCCCAAAACTTCAAAATGAGTCGAAGGAATTTCCCCACGATGTTCGAAATTATTGATATTTATCGGAACGGTATCGCACCTTCTTTTTTAAACTGACGGTTCGAGATGACTAGTAGCCCAATATTTCATTGCACAACAGTTGTTGGGATGCTGTCACAGGCTCTTTAAAGGTGTACTATATTGATTCAGTCTGTGTTTCACTAAGCTGAAAGTTAAAATAAGTGCATCAAATATGTGACTTATAGGGAATAAAGTGGCAAAATTAATCATTCTACATTAACTATAATACGACTGGACAATGTCTTTACATTATACACTTCCCGGACAATTTAAATTCCAGTTAGTAACGATTTTCTGTTATAAATTTGGCACAAGAGTGTAACAGTTAATACTGTGGGGAGCAACGGATAGCAAGCTGTGCCCAGCATGCTGTTCAGCACTGAGACACATAAAACACACCAGGCCAGCAGCAAAGTGCAAACATTTATACAGATAGTATCCTTCTATCTAAGATTGATATTAAAGTGACATGTCCGCCGCTGGAAAAACTGATAAGTCGTCTTTAATTAAATGTATTATGTCTACAAATGTCACATTACTGTATGAGGTTAGTTTAAAGCAATAATATTAAGTTGAACCTAATTTTCTTTTACTTATTATTATTGCTTTCAACTAACCTTATAATTGTAATATTGAGAGTATATCAAGTTGGATTAGATTGGATTGGATTATAAAGTTATGTAAAATCTGTTGACAAAACACATTTAATTAAAGTTAACGTTTCAGTTTTTTCAGTGTTTTAGCACGTTCACTAATACTCACACACACACACACACACACACACACACACACACACACACACACACACACACACACACACACACACACACACACACAGGGTCCCTTACCTAGCCATCCCGAGCTGGAGTTGGGCGCACACATGTCTGTCTCTGCGCTGGGCAGCACAAAGCCCACCACGAACACCTCCACCCCGTCTGACATGAGCGCCAGCCCGAGCACCAGGAACAGCTGCCACTGGAACCTCCCGTGGCCACACTCCTGGATGATCAGCTCGTATTGTTGGGCCAGCTCCTCCTCATCCGCCTGCCTCTCCTCCTCCAGACCCTTGCGGTCCCTTGAGGCGTCAGACATGGGTTGTCCCAGTGCCACCTGGCCCTCCTTCTGCTTCCTATCCGAGGGGATCCCCTGGTACTCGCCCTCATAGATCTCATCCTCGTCATCGTGGCCCTCTGTAGCATCGCTGGAGCCCTCCTCGTTGTCATGGTTGCCCTCTCCGCCCTGCCTCGGCGGGTTCCGGTAGAAATCCTCATCTTCGTCCTCGTCGTCCTCGAATCGGCTGTAGTTGTGGTGGGACGAGTACCCGTCTGTGGCGCGGTCCACCACCTTGTTGACTTTCTTTTTTGCATGCCGCTTGGCCTCCTTGACAATGTCCTTGGCCCCCTTGGACAGGGAAGTCCTGTTATTGTAAGTTTCCTCCATTCTGGCTCCACCAGCAGGTCTGCACGGGGTTCAGGGGATACTTAGAAGTAGAATAAGGAGGGAAGAGGAGTGAGTTTACGCTGGCGGCGGAATTTGCTGGAACGGTGAGATCAGTGGGTGTTGAGATGCAGCCGGGATGAAAACTCTTGAGTCCGCAGTCACCACAGGAGATAACCCACAATGGCTGTGGCAGTCATCGGCCAGGCTGAGAGAGATGAGGCAAGAGACAGACAGATAAAAAATAGAGAAAGCAAACAGGAGGAAGGACAGAGAAGAGAGAAAAGAGGGAGATGTTTATCAGATAGTGCTGGTAACTCATGTCTCCCTTTCATAACTATTCCAGTCTAACAGGTGACACCCCACTGACAGCACTCCCCTCTTTAATCAGTCCCTCACCATTCTCCCAGGCCGTTTAATCATTACGAGTGATGTGTGGAAAAAAAGCATTGGCTGAAGAGCCTTCAGTTTTTATTCAAAATGAATATTACATTTCCAGGGTCGCTCTCCCTTTTCTATATTTTATAAGTTGGACTTAAAGGGATGAGCATTTTAAACAGAGATGCTGAATCTGCTGACTCATGATCAGCTCTGAGAAACAGAGGCTAATAAACAAGGCTGTGCCAGAAATCAATTTGCCCCCAATAAAGAGCTGGTCTATTATAATGAGAGTGGCGAGCCAACCAGAACGGCACTGTCATATTTAATCCGTTCAAAGAAAGGAGAAATGGTCGTGAGTGGATACGTACTGTAGGTAAATGCACAATCAGACACATGCACATTGTACACACACAGCTGTTCTCTAAGGCCCCTGTTTTTGTACAGTCAGGTTTCTATAACACATAAAATAGGTAATGCATACTTGCAAAAAGGACACGTTAGAAAACACCCATGCAATTCACAAACAGTATGTGTGCACGATGGGGAAGCCCTTTCCCATCAAACCAGGCCTGTGCCGATGGGAGGGAGACCCCAGCATAAGAGTGTGAATGATGTAACATGATTTCATGTCAGTGTTCAAACTGTGATTCACAATTCATCATCACTTGCCTCCACAGGCTCACTTGGGAGACTTATTCTATAACATGTCACGACTCAAAGGCACAGCCATTATTAAAACAAACATGATTGTGAGATTTAGTCATTTAAATGATAGAACTCTTAAATTACTCATGTTTTATTTAACATCTCAAGATAAGAATGCATACTTAGGAGAAGGGTGGTGATGGTCCGAGCTGTCCAGTGTGTGTGCGTGTGCGTGTGCGTGTGCGTGTGTGTGTGTGTGTGGTTCCCGTGTGTCTAGGAGCTGCTCACCACCGCCTCTAATGAACACTGAAGCCTTGTCAGGAGGACACAAATCACAGAGCCAGCTCCAGCTCCCATAATGCAATTTTACTGGGTAAAATGACAATGCTGATTCAAGGTGACTCTCCTAATCCTTTTTGGCTTATTGGATGACTTATGTGCTTCTGAGCGCGCACTCCTTTACACATTGACTGGTAATTGTTAATACCTCCGTTGACACCTGTGCTGCCTCAGACATTGTCCTTAAGATGATTCATTAGCACAAATTACAAAGGGTTAAAATATGATAGAGGTTTGTTTTGTTCCTGTGAAATAATATCCAGTGCAGTCGATTGATATCCTGCATGAGTCATACAATAACAACAATTCTCAAAACAATTATTTTCTATTGACTGCATCTTCAAATAAAATTCATTTCAATGCCTACGTAGACATGAAATGAGGCTATTTATCATTTTGGGATCAGGTCACGTTGGCTATCACACATCATTTTCATCTAAAACTAGCAAGTGGGCTTACACACACCGGCAAAAAGGGGATACATCCTGTCTGTCAGATAATCAATGGAGTGTATAGTGAGCCGGCTGTCACTGGTGATGAAACTCAGACGACACCCGGGCACACAGCGTCCAACCTGCACCTGACCGCAGCTGACAAGACCCCGACAGCGCAGACAGCGAAGGCAACGTGAGCAATCACAATCAAAGTGGGTAAACTCTCCCAAACAGACTAATCTCCGTGTTGCTGTCTCTGAACCATTTCTTTCCTCTTGCATCTCCTTTAATGTTTGCTTCTCTTCAGAATCTCGTGTTTACATTGATGCCTGTAGGTCAGGACATTTTCATTTTTACATTTAACATCATCTGTTCATTTGCAAAAGCACTCCTTTCCAACTTACTGTCTACTCCCAAATAGTGACAAAACATCTAGTTGTAAATTCATAGTTGTAGATATATAATCTTTAAGTCATTACCTATATCCAATTTACACGATCAATACTGACCTTCAAAGTAACCAAACTCTCTTAACATTTGATTTTATGTTTTTTCTATTGATAAAAAAAACAACATGTTGATGTGGAATATGTATTGTAACATAAAGAAGCTGCAGCCATACATTGTCCTGCAGGGCAGAGAATAAAAGGATTTGATAAAGTGTGTGTATGTTGCTGTGAACCACAGGAGGATGGCTGAAAATAAGCCTTGCTCTGGTAACACCCCTGTCTGCATGATGGATAGCGGCCTTACTTTCCTTAAACCTCTTTAGAATACTAAAAAAACACTAGGTCAAGTATCACTTGGCCCCAAATTTCCCCATGCATGAACAAAAAGTCCACTAAAGGGAATAGAGTTACAAAAGAGTTTTGCACCATCCAAGTAAAAGCAAGTACATTTGATTTGAGAATCTTTTTAAATGTAAAGTGTGTGCTTGACCAACTCAGTACATTTTAACACACCTCTTCATTGCTTATCATAACTCATTAGCCAACATTTGGCACAGTATAAGCTGCTAATGAGCATTTCGAAAGAAACGTTTTGAATAATCACACTACATAAGATTTTCATGACACCCTTAGTCTGAAGAACTGTCAAAAAAAACAGAAAGGGCATCCCTAAGGCAATAGATTTGTCAAAAGGATGGGTGTCATTTTTTGTGCTGATTCACCTTGAGTCCAACAGTCATCAATGAGAAGGGTATGGGCTACTTGTTGGAATAATAAGTACACAATAAATTCAGGTCATGTAATTTAAGGTTGCTTGACCAGAAACACATTTTCTTTTTTTGCAAGAAATGTATGGATAATCCATAGTGCCTTTCTGGCTGGTTGCAATCCAGCAGTCCAGACATTGGCCCTTTCACAGTACCAAACAAAGATATAATAAAAAACAATGAGCACAGCTGAGGGCTTCCTATTTAATTTTATTTTTAACAATTATTACTTGTGCAATAAAATGGCAATTTTCTTCCCTATGCCAATTTTTAAATGTCATGTACATTGAACCCATTTGAGAGTTTCTTAGCTCGGAACCTCAAACACTTTCCATCTCCGTCAGGTTTGACTTGTCAGTGTCTTGCCCTTTCAGAGACATGCCTGGCACAGTGTCTTGGTGGCCGGTTTGTTCTATTAGCATCAGAAGGAGCAGGTCCAATCTCTAAGTGGGCAGAGCCGCATGTAATCCAATCAAAACGGTGAGCCCATGACCTCATCTGGAAGGCAGAGGCACAGCCAGCCTGGGACATCTTCGGTTAGGAGATTTCATCAAGCACTGATGCCATTACTGACTGAGTGGGGGGGGAGGACGAGGGAGAGGTGGAGGGGGTATCAAAAGTATTAATGAGGGAATAAATGGAGGCTTGGCAAAAGAACGTCTAAAGAGGAATAAAATGATAAGAAAATATATATTTTCAAAGAACCTAAACCTTTCACCTCTCACGAAGAGCCAGTGCTGGCCCCCCCACGATTGAATTTAAAAGCAGAGCTGACTGCAAGTTATGCTAATGTTACATCATACAGATTCACAAATCAGCTGCAGGAAGATGATGGCTGCCTCTCTTACCAAGCTAGTATTAGTTTCAATCACTTACGTGCCCATCCTGGCCAATGAGAGAGGATTTCCCCTATGTTTGTATTAATTTTGTCTCAATACTTAAATGAAAATAATAAAGGCCATATACTCTGGATACAAAGGACTGTATCTATTTAAAGTGTTCATCTGTACATTTGCACAGACTGAAAGAAAACACATTTTGGTGAAAACATGTCCCATCCCACTCTCAAGATTCATAAAGAGAAAATGGTGCCGTCTCTTCTGCTTTTTAGCATCAGGCTGATCTTCTTGGTAAACATATGGTCTCCCTGCCTTGACAGACCTCACTGCTGACACAATATAGTGCTTACATAGCAGATAAAAACATAATGTGCCACCACCACAGTCTGGTGCAGATCTTACACTTGGGGTTGCAGTGACGCAATAACACGATGAGGCCGGCCAGGCATGCAAGATGCAGCACATTTACCGGTGATTTCTTAGCATTTGGTCAAAACGTTTTATGTGATGCACAAATATACACAACTAGTGTGCATCACATAAAACGGTTTGACCAAATGCTAAGAAATCACCAGTAAATGTACACCTCACAAATTCTGGCAGACATGAGGATGGCAAGGGTTTTTTGGTGTGATGTAAACTATGTTTTTGGGTTTAGCTTGCCCCTAAAATAATGACTATTATCTGGTATTTCTCATTATGCCTGCACACTTAAATAACAACACTAAAATATGCAGACAGTTTGGTAAAGCTCTCATATCTGCTACATTGTCACTGGCTCAGTACATTGAGTCCTTTCTTCCTGTCAACTGTGAATCACTGGGAGAGAAAATGTCCTCCTCTTAAAAAAGCCTGTGCTGCCTAAACTTTAGGAGAACTAACAAATGTGGGTGCTTGAGATGGAGATGTCATTGAATGCAGATGAGGAGCATTTTGAATTACAATGAGATTCTTGGTTATCGTGGCAAAAAAAAACGACGATAAGAAGTGGGCACCAGGAATGAATTCTGCAACCTGCAATCACTGCTTACACTTTTCATTGATGGCCCCCGTCCGTGTTAACCCAGCAGGACTACTACAGCAGCCTTCAGAATGCAAACAAAGCACTTTGCCACGGATTTCCAGTTCAACGGTTGTGTGCTTATCAATCGCTCACTGCCTCTTGAGGTGCAATTCACGGATGAGTCAGTTGCCTGCTCCCGCATCCTTTCCTCTTCTTGGCGGCAGTGCAGAGTGCTTTAACTGCCCCAGGGCTGGTGGCTGGATGGCACTACAGCATGCACAGTCAACAGCCAACAACTCAACACTCTGCTCGTGGCAAGGATTTCACTATAAACATGCTGGTAAATTTAAAAAAAAAATGGGTAAACTATGAGCTCCATTCAGTGATTATACTAGCCCAAATTGCCACCTGAAGGTTACAAACAACATTTCAAATAGGAAATTAACTTACAGACAAAATTATTGTAGTTAAATTAGTTAGATATTTTAAGGAATTTGTGTCAACCTTTATTGCTACATTGCTACATTTTACAATTAAAAGGGTACAGAAACTGGAATTTAAACTCCACTACATCCCTAATGTATATGGGGCAGTTTTTTGCTTGCTTGGATGTTGCTTGCTTTCCTAATGATGCCAATTTCTCTACTTTTGCAGGAGGCATATGGACTCAGTTTAGTGCTCCCTCTGAGAAAAAAACAACACATGCCTGGAAACTATGCCAACTTTTAACAAAATATTCACAAACTTATAAATAAATAATGAGGCGTAGTCCCAGTTTAGATGTTAGTTATAGATATCATAAGAAATAAGGCAACAACCTAAAAAAACGACTTGTAAGTCCTAATGAAGCTGATCATAAAACAGTTTTATTGAAAATACTCGATTTAACTCGGAAACACAGTCAGCATCTTTTTTAAGGGGAAAAGTAATCATTTCTTACCGTAATTTATGGCGAGAAGAGAGAACTGGGCAGGTAGTTACCCATTGCATCAGACTCTGCTTTCGTTTAATAGGAAAGAAAATCTCTTTTTTTGTTACTGTAAAATAGGATGAGAGGCAATTGCCAGCGCACGACAGTGAGGTTTTTTTTCTTCGCGATGCAGTCCTCCCTCGCTGCAGTACTTCGGGAAAGGAGAGAGCGAGAGAGGGAGAACGTGCGAGGGAGAGAGGGAGGGAGGGAGGGAGGGATGGAGAGAGGGAGACGGGGGGTGGAATCAATGATTGTACTTCATTGAGTGATGCAGGTAATTCCGTTTGATGGAACAATCTAGTTAGGTGACTGAATGACGTGGAACACTGCAACGCATGAATGCTAAAATAGATAGGACATTTCTGTTATTAAACAGGCAGTGTTTCGTCCATTCTACATGGAGGAAACAACAATTAATATAGGGTTGGGTTTGGGAACAACGTGTATACGCTACATTTTGCTTCAGGGAAAAAGTTGTTATTCTAGGCAAAAACTGCTGCGTAGTCGAAAAGTTTTCGCACCGTCAGTTTCATTAGAAATGTTTTGCAATTCAGTGTATTTAATCTTTAGTTTTATTAGCTGGTCATACCTGCTCTTAAATAAGTGGAGCTGTCTGAGACCTCACCATGATTTGCAGAGCCTGGAGACGCAGAACGTTGTATCTCAACCACTTGTTCTGTCCAGGTTTTGTCCGTGGTGCTGACCGGCACCAGCACCTGAACGTCTCATCGCGCCAAGTTTGGTAGCTGATGCCTTAAAGAACATTACACTTGTCTTGCACATTCGCCAGTTCTGAAAAAAACAAAAAACAGGTGCATCATATTTAAGTCCTTCCAGATTACACTAAATGAAATTCAAACATAAATTGTCTGCCCTTAAAATAAGGACTGTTTTATATTGTCACAAATATGTGCATAGCCAACATGACCTTGTTTTAATGGCATACAATAAAAACAAGGTCATATAATGATATAAAATAAAAACCTTGAGACTGATTTGAGACATCCTACTAAGACTACAGTATATCAACCTAAAACAGAGTAAGGCTTTGTATTAGTAATATGTAGCAAGTCTTGCCATAAACCAGAGAACGAATAATAATAAGAGACCTTAAGCCATGAGCCTGAATTCGGACACTTCAATAAAAAAATCTGTTGAAAAAAACATTATCTTTAGAAATACCTTTTATATATACAGTGGTTAGAGACCTTCTATCATCACAGGCCACAGGTGAATGTGTTGGTATGACTCCTGTATACATGTACAATTATTTGAATTAGTGTGCCACCCTTGCAATATTCTGAATTCATATAAAGTAGCCTATTTTGTATTTTACTCCATTGCATAATTTCACATCAAAGTAGCCTGTAAAGAAAGTAAAGTCGTTGTTTTTCATTTTTAACAGAGCAAAACACTCTTTTTAGGCCCAACAATATTGACTTATACTCTTGAGAAACACCACACAAATATTATACAATCCTGTAACAATAATTGCATAACCAAACACAGGCTCTAAGAGATAAGTAGGCTCTTTAGATGAAGTGTTTGACGGTTACTGCCTGTGTGCCTGCTCTGTCAAACCCTAACGCTTCTGAAACCTGTGAGTGGTTCCTGGAGGAAGAGAGGGTGCGAAAAAAAGGAGATGGCGGTCTGATGCAAGCACTGGGACATTCAGCCTTTCAGTATTCACATCATTAAAGCCTGCAAACTGCACCGGCGCAACCAGTGAGTCTCGGTCCGCTGGAGATATAACCACCAGCAAGCTCTTTGATGTATTACACTGCATCTATTCTGCTCCCTTATTCTCAATTTTAAAATGAAAACTAGATCTCGAGCACTCCATGTGAAAATGCTTAACATGTAGGACATACAGTAAACAGTGCAGCCTGGTTGTGCATTTGCTTACCGAGTATAAACACTGAAACATGGCTTTGACACTGGTTGTACATCATACTCACAACAAAGGATACTAAATAGGATTGTAAATGATGCATATAGTGTACACAAAGACCCACACAATACAAAAGCGTGCAATGGCACACACACACGCAAGTAAATAAATAAAAGGAAAGGCATCTATCTTTATCCTCTGAATTTGATGATTCACATAGCAGTGACCTAAGGCTTGGGACACTCTTTGCTTTTGATTCAGAGTTGGGAGACTAACACCCCTCAAGCCATAAGACTCCATTTACTACTGCTGGAGAGCTGAGGAGCACTTAGCTTAATGTACGGGACAGTAGAATGACCCTCACACAAACACACACACACACACACACACACACACACACACACACACACACACACACACACACACACACACACACACACACACACACACACACACACACATGCGCATGCCAAAATGTTCTCCCTCTCTTTTGTTGCAGGACTCTTTGTCATATAAACATGCACACAAGCAAGAAAGATGATCATGAATTTAAGTGTATTTTTATCATCGTAAATGGCACAATACGTTTGATATGCATGTCAAGCCTGCAGGATGGACATGTAAGAAGAATAGCTGTTGAGGTCATGAATTTACATGCCACAGTAAATGTATATTGGTGGTATGTAATAAAAAAAAGTAACCATGTTGGAATCCCATAAAGCTTGGCTGGCCGAACAACTTACACCTATGCCCGACAATCTATCGCATCTTAGCTGCATGTTAAAAAAGATATACTTTGTATTTATACAATGCAAGTATGTCCCCTACTGGATTTAGTTTTTTTTATCTCCTTTTTTAGTATGTACTCTTCTGCTGAGACGTGTAAATATAGTACCTGTGGTGCCAGCTTTCCTTAAGAAATGATAACAGGTGGAGGTATACTGGAGCGACTGCATGCTGCTTATCGTCATCCAGATTATAAGAAACGGATGTGGACACTGATGGTAATTGTTTCTGCCCTGTGTAGATAGAGGCTCGGGCTAACTGATTTAGTCTCCGTCTTTCCTCTTAGCCTCCACTGCTCCTCCGCACTAACATGGCTGACCACTTTATGATGGAGTCAGCATTTCTCAAACTATGGAATAAAGACAAAATATATGCATCCTTTTTGTCTCTTACCTGGTTTTTAATACTATCTTTGTGGGAACAATGCAGCCATGATGCATTTACAATTGTGGGCAAATTCAGTACACAAGCATTCCTAAAGCAAAACAAAAGGACACTGGTGTCACTGATAGAGAGATGTGATGGATTAGAGAGGCCCAAGGGGGAAGTCCTGGTCCATCAAAATGTAATGAAAAATAATTTGGAAACAGCAGGCAGCTATGAATAACACCAAGATGAGTTTTGGTAACATTGTGTTCAGTGAGAGGTCATCATTGTCTCATATGTGAGAAAAATGGGTTGATAACATTACGATTGATGATAGCACATTAGTTGTTGTCTTCAGGAGTTATGGCTGTCTGTAAACACGTCTGACTGAAAATCGATCAAGGGCAAGAAACAATTTTACACCAAGTCTATAATCTAGTTTCACAACTGGAACGCATAAGATACAATTACACAAAACAATATACAGGACTTTACACCTTTTGGGGGGATCAGTTAAATACAAAAATGCAGTGAAAAATACAGGGGAAAAGTATTGTAAGAAAAGTTTCCTCACAAAGTCCATTTGTACAGGTACTGACAATTATTTCCTATTTTCTGTTCTGTCTACCATTGCAAGGTCCTGAATAGTCTAGGTTCTCAAATGGGGGTACGCGGACCCTTAGGGGTACGTTCGAGTACAGCAGGGGGTACGTGAGATTTATTTTATGTTAATGAAAAAAACAACACAAGTAATGCATTTAAACAAACTACTAATAGTAGATTAACTACTTCATTCAAAAGTGTACAATGATTCTGGTTAATAAAATGGGAAAAATAAACGTGGTGCTCTCTTTTCCTCTCCCTCTCCTTACAGCCCGTCAGTATCAAAGGACACCTGAAGAATAAGCGTTGCTTGGCAACGGGGGTGTGGCCGCAAAGTATAGCCCAGCATTATCCATAGGCTATGTTTATATGAGGGGTCCAAATCCTGTCTGGCGGTCACAGGTATAAATGCTCATATATGTTTTTCTCTTCATTCCCCACGCCCCAAAATAAATAAATAAATATAAAATATAAAAGTAACAAAGTTTGAGCAGTGTGGGTTTTAAATTAATAGAGTTACACATATTTCAAAACGCGAAGTGTAATAACTGCAGGTGCCTCCCTGTCAGAATGACAAAGGACCTCAGTGAAGCTCAAGCCCATGTTTCTCACTACATTGTAAGAACAACTTATTAAAAAGATCAGTTCAATGCAACTAATGTATTCTTAGTGTTAGTGCATGATGTTAAAATTGGTTTGCCATGAATTTAGTGATGGATTGTAAACATTTGAAATGTAGCATTAAGTGTTTCTCAATTAGAAGGTTGTTGTTTTAATAAATCAGACTCTGATAGTGCAGCGCTGTACTGTACCTCTTTATATAGGCTTTTTGTCCCTAACAAATTGTTTTTGCGCTGTTCAGGGGGTACCTGGCTGACATTGTTTTTCAAAGGGGGTACATTATTGAAAAAAGTTTGAGAACCACTGGTCTAACGTACCTGAGCTATAATACCAGGGGGAAGAAAGTCAAATGCATCGTGATTATTGTCCTGGAACAGATTGAACGGGCTACGAGAGAAGAGTGTGAGCTGAATCCCATTTCACACACAAGCCTTGTGTGTTTCTGTTGTTGAAAGGGAGGGAGGTGAAATCTACAAAAAGGGATCTAAAGAAGAGTTTCAGGCAATAATACTTGCTTTAATCCAACCAATATCAACAGTATAGCTTATTACCTTTGTCTGGATCAAAAGAAAAACACTATACAGAGTGGGTAGACTATAGACATCTGTCTCTATTGTTTTTAAAATCAGTTCTAGTCTATTGTGTATTATTTCATCATTGTATGTCTAAATGTGGTTCAAAAGACCTGCTGATGAGTTCACGGACTGTATGTGATTTGTACTAATCATAACAGTGGATTTTTTACTTGATCATTTAATATTATTCATTTTAAATAAGCATATTATTTGATGGATAATTTGATAGACTGTAAATGTATTTATTTTCACATGAGGCAAAAAAAGGATGTGATTAATGGTACAAAACATTAAAAACGAACAAAAAAAGAGGTTAAGTAAACCAGACCAACAGTTGGCTTTTATGTCGTTCTTTTGAAGTAAGACAAAAACAAAGCCTTCCATAAAGCATAGACACACCTTGCAGTTGTCTGTGTCTAAACAGATGTTGTTGTAATGACTGAATAAAAGCAGGCAAGCATCAAAAAATGTGCAGTTTAACATCAACGGCACGATGAAAAACCAGAGCACCTAAAGCCAAGTTGATTTGGATGACAAAATAGTCACCCTAAAAGAGAAACTGTGATGAAAACATCACCAAAACCTTTCCAAACATGTGAATCATCTGCTCGAAAATGGAAATAAGTAATCTGTGAGAGCTACAGCTTCCTGTCATTCAACAGGAAACTTCCACTCCCCACAGAGCAGCAGGATTATCCTCTGTGCCTCACGCTTCTGGTTCAAATTCACAGCCTGCGTCAACAGTCAAGGCAGGTAATAATGAAATGTGTGTGGGTTTCTTTGCCAGGCGGTGCTTGCAAAATATGATCATTCTGTTTATTTATAATAAATATTTTATATGGAATGTTTCTGTTTGAGTCCTTTTCACGTTGAAACTGCTGTTTCTTAAAGGGGTAATTACTGCACATGTCACCAATGTCACAACTACACGTTCCCCCTTTCCAACGTCAGCCTGCAGGTCTCATGACAATGCTAACAGGACACCTTTGAAGAGTGAAGTACTCAGAGCCAGGTGGTGAGGAGGCTCCCGCCCAACAGTACTGTTAGCAGCTCTGCCACGGCTGAGAGCGACCATATGTCTATTCTCTCCAGAGAGTCCGTCTTAGTGCAGGACTGCCAAGCCGTGAGTCCTATCCCACATATGTGCCTTAATACTGTCAAGCACTGGGTCTTCAGGGGGTTGAGACATTGCTGTTATTCAGTTTTTGAACCATTGTTTACTCTGTGTTTGTCTTTGTTAACAACAGAGAAATGGCAACTGATAGTTTCACAGGGTGGTGGTATTCCCTCGAAAACTTAAACCCTCTTTGGAGTAAGCTTGCATCCTTGTGGCAATTTAATCAGTTAATCTTTATTCAGCACGCCAAGCTACTGTGATGATACACAGATGGAAACAATGCTTGCTCCCATAATATGTGATATCAATGGGCACTGATTTGAAGATGCCTAACATGTGTTTCAAACACCCTTATTGGATTGTGAATAATAAATGAATGAATGACAATCCTAGTTTTACACAACAATGTATAAAGAGGTATACCTTTACCATTATTTTTTTTTCATTGTTGTGAAATACTAGATCCTAGTTGTGTGTGTGAGTGTGTGTCTGTTGGCAATAGGCTACGAATCCTCCGAATATAAGACACAAAAAGTACCATATTACTGACTTAAGCTGGTGCTGGTACTGGATGTCACACTAATCGTTAACCAAATGCACTTTACTGTTAAAATCACAGAAAAAAGCTGAAGTGGACCTTTTTGTTTGTACTGTACTGGTTACAGCTGGGGGACTCAGCTCAGCGTTGTTCCGCTTACCGTTACCACGGAAACATTGTACCCAATGAGAGTCGATGTAGCAGGGTGCTGTCGGAACAGTAGCCAATCATAGAGTCTGTTGTTTAAGGGTCACTTGGTTTGAAATGGCAAAGCAAGCGTTTTCTAACTGACGGACTAACTTGGGAAACGGAGAAGTGTGGTAGACTGCAAATACATATAAAAAAGGTAACTTAAACATTTCCGAAAGTAGCGTAAATGTAAAACCTATTTGCTGGGTAACGTTAGGGTACTATTTACTATAGTTATACTTTGTATCAGCGATAATGCTAACTCACTTGCTCCATGAATTGTTTATCGAAAGCACCTTTTTTAAATATGTGACGTTTGCTTTACATTTTCTTACCCAACTTCGTAGCTAACAAATCATTGATGTGTCAGGTCAGTAACATAGACTTTATATTTAAAGGTCAGTCAGCAAGACATATCGTAACTTGCAGTAACTGTAGAGGAAGTTGCACTAGCACATAAGTCCTGTTTTGTAGGCTGATTTAAGATATGGTAAAGTGTGTTTAGTTGACATTACAGGTGAGAGTTTACATGTTGCCTACCAAACAACCACGTGATCCAGCAGCGTCTTCCTCCTCAGCTTCAAACAGTCTGAAAAGAGGGTTAGCTTGCAACCAAACCCTTCCTCCCACTTAGGGACCATCAATACATTGTCGTTGAATTACAATGTTAAACCAATGTTATTTTCAATACCTCCGTGCAAACTCGCCAACATTCGTGTAAATAATGCTAAAATAATTATGATAAATGTGCCTTATGTAGCACCCATTTTATATAAAAACACACTAAAATATAGTGGTAGAAGATCATTTCAGTTTCTTCCATCACATCTGACCCAGTGACTCACAAATCCGTGCATCATCGTATTACTACAACACCTTTTTTTCTTGGGTTTTAGTGCTAATTTTTCTTGAGAAACATTATAATTTTCCCTCTGTTTAAAAAAACCAAACACCTTTTTTGAACATATATTTGTAAAGTATTCAGAATAAAAGTCATTTAATAAAATATACAGCTATTTATTGTGAGTCATGCCATTGATAACTTGTGCTGATTTTTTTATTTTATTAAATTAACACATTCCATCTTTTTACATTTGTAAACATGTTTGTGTCTAGATGTCCTCAGACGAAGAGGAACCGACCAGTCCTGTTCTGCCAAAGGACTCTGATCGGGGGAGCTCGGTCTCCTCTGAGCTTCAGGTGGATAAAGAAAAACAAAAATGAATGTGCCTTTATGATTGTCACATCTCTCAGATCTGGGAAATATATCCCCAAATTGTTGATGATGACTTAAATATAATAATGTAATATAACCAATAGGAAAAATTGCTATGGAAATAAGATACAGACTGTAAATCCCTGTATTTATAGATAGATATAGTCATTTATGGACACTTGAGCCCAATTTTTCTTTATTAATTGTTTATGGATCAACAGGATGAGTATGAGGAGCTCCTCCGATATGCTGTGGTCACCACTAGGCCTGACAGACCCACCAGTTCTCACGTGCAGCGGTTAGGCACCTCCCATCTATCTGCAGAGGCTCGGTGTTCCCAGAGAAAAGATGACTCCAAATCAACGCGCCCAGCAGGTATCTTGGGTTCCCCTTGTATGTGGGGCACACACACACACACACACACACACACACACACACACACACACACACACACACACACACACACACACACACACACACACACACACACACACACACACACACACACACACACACACACACACAGACACAGACAGACACAGACACAGACACACACACACATGACACTACCCCCATCAAAGGATCAGCAGCTTGACATCGCAACATGGAATAGGTTGTGTTTATCAGCCTTGTATTTTCAGAATGTAACCCAAGATGCATAAGATAGCAGTCTGTCAGATTTTACCCCCTTGGAGGTTTAGTGCTTTAACTGTCATGGAGTAGTGCACTGGGATGTAGAGAGCAGACGGCCGATTGGTAATGATCTCCTGGCTCTCTGCCCGCACTGCTCTTTAGAGTGCAGGCTTTCTCTTCCCCCTGCAGGATTTAATTAAGATATTGACTTAAATGCATTCCTGGACGAGGAGCCATGCTCATCTTATTCAGCATTCTCACCATCACCTTTTTTGTTCTTGAACCGTCTTTCAGGCTTTCACATTTTAACTTTGAATTTCACTCACTTTTTCCAGGTTAAAAATGTATTCAAGCAACATTCCCTCTTTAAGTATTTACCATTGCACCTTCCTCTCTCTTCCTTGTCTGTTGTCAGATACTGCGACTCAAGCTACAGATGGAACTCGTTCGAGCAGGAGTGTGAGGTCAACACAGGTCTCCCCCTTAATTGTTGAACCCTCCACACACTCAAGTGCCTCTCAGGGTAAATTTAATAAAATAACCAAAACGGTTGGGCCCGATTTTATATTAATTTATCTTGATATAACGTACGTTTTTTAAATTCAAAGGTCACACAGTTGCAATATTTCGAATAATATCCTTTTTTTTTCTGCGTTTCTTTTGCCTTCCAGCTGAGGAGACGGCAGGACGGTCGTCTAGCAGGGCGTCGGTGCCCTCTCACGCTGCCTCAGAGAGGGGACCGACGGTGTCTGAGGGGTCCGGGTCAAACAGCCCAGACCCCCTCGAGTCTGCTGTGACAGAAATGTTTATCTCGGAGGAAAACATGAGCAAGATGGAGAACATTCTTGATACGTGGAGCAACAACCTGAAGGTTAGTGTGCTCTCTCATACTGTAGCACTGTCCCTACACACTCAATCAATGTAATGGCCCTCATTGGCTGACTGCTTGAGAGCGGACCATAGATAACGGCGCAGGGCTATATATAGGGCTCTCACAATGCTGAATAATAATAATTGCGACAGTGTGTTTTAGCAGTTTGCAGCAGAGTCGAAGCAAGCTGGCGGGTTTGTTCTTGATGTACTGAAATGAGAATTCAAGTTATGCATAATATGAAAATCTATGGTACAACAGAGTATTATTTAAACTTGTATCAGAGCAATCTAGAAGCAGTTTGCGTTTATGCAGTTTGTCACATAGATGTTTTAGTTTAACAGAGGTTCATTTACACAACCTAAAATAAGTAATACTGGAAATTACTCAAACGCTTTGATTTTGTTTATTTGTCACCAACACAGTTAGTTTCAGAGTATATCTAATGATAAATAATGTACTGGTTTGAGCAACTGAAATCTGCATGCATGTATTCAGCTTATATTGATATTTCCCACACTCATGCAATGAGACCGTTTGACTGAGATAGATTAAATGTCAGTAATACTGTGGGCAATTTACATAAGTGATGGTGAGGAGGAGGTCAGAGATTATAAAGGGAATGTAAAGTCCCAGAAAGGCTTACTGAATACCATGACAGCTCTTCTTTTCATGGCACCAGTGACCTTTTTATTGTGTCTCCCAGTGGAGTGGGTTTTGGACGAGGTGAGTTCCTGGACATGGGAAGTTGAGACTCTTTCAGTTTTCTTGACTCACAGATTGTGTTGTCTGCTGTTTCACCTTCGGGATAAGCCACACAACTTGACATTTGTGGACAATAATAAATAATCCTTATAGCGCTTTTTTCAATGACTCTCAAAGCGCTCCTTACAAATACACATTACACACACATAATGGTCATGTACTGTGGACAATACCCACAGGAGCAAATTCAGGTGAAGTGTCTTGCCCAAGGACACAACGGCTTTACAGACGCAGCGGCGGCGGGTTTCGCCCACTTGATCTGATAATCAATGCACAGCGCACTGCGCCACACCGCCCATCTTCACACCTCGAAGTAATCAAGGCGCTTTACAAGTACACATTGATATCATACATGTACTGTGGACAATACCCACAGGAGCCAATTCGGGTGAAGTGTCTTGCCCAAGGACACTACGGCCTGACGCAGTGGAGGCGGGTTTTGAACTGGAGTTCCCCAACGCCCCCTTGATCTGATGATCAAACGCACAGCCCACTGCGCCACCCCGCCCCATGAGCGGATGTTGATTATGTTTGACCGTGTAGAGATTGGTAGACAAGTGTTAACTGCTCATGCTACATAACTTAAACATCCCCGGTTTCATTTCAAACATGAGATCTTTGTTGCATGTCATAATATCTCTCCCTTACTAGACTTATGTGTACACTAAAGGCAAAATAATAAAGTGTTGTAAGCATGTAGATATTTAGCTTAGGTCAAATGATTTGCTTCTCGAGCCAAATGTACTATACATTTCTGTTTTATGGTGTTTTAGGGGCTGCATGTTTGTGGTAGCCTCTTCTTGACCTCTGTAAGGCACACCTGTCAATCTAATTTGAAAAGGATTTAAGACATGCCGTGTCCATATTGACTCAATCTGGGTAATGAACACATTGTGACTGTCCCACCCTTTATTTCCTAATTAGTCAAATGTGCTGACGGAGCTCAGGAAGTGGAAGCTGGCCTTCATGGAGAAACACAAGCTGGAGATAAGGAAGGAGAAGGAGAGGTATGAAGCCCAGTCAGCTGGCCTGAGATCAGAGATAGACGGCCTGAAGGGACTGCTACACACCTACGAGACCTCCAACCAGAGGAAAGACGAGGTGACTTTATTTTCTTTCTCCTGTAGATAATGTGCTGGTGGGTTGAATATGGATTCAGTATCAGACTAAGATGTTACCTTCTGGTTGCAGGACTGGGTGAGCTTATTCCATGTCTAAACCATCAGCTCTCTTTGTTATTGCACATCATGTCTCTAATTCTTATGTGCATTAAGAACTTGAGAGAAGTTCTGGTGACAACTTTTTCCTCCTTTTAGACTGACAAGTCTGATGCTTCCTCCCTCAGGTGATTGTGAACCTGAGCCAGGTGCTGGAGAGACAAAAAGAAAAGCATGAAAAAATGAGGGCCTTCACCCACTGGAGACTGAAGCTCAGTGAGGCCAAAGAGGAGGTAAACTGATGCCCTTGTGATGCTTCCTACAGGCTTTTAGTTCAACATTAAAGTAACGTGTGTTTGTTGCATCACATGAGCATCACATCTCAACATCTTATGATCGTCTATGAAGCCTGATTAAAATGCTCACTTTAGGGTATGGTCTGTGGTGTTTGTCAGGTTTAATCACAAAGTTAAAACATTTTTTCGTTGTGTCTTTTTTTATACATGTTTTTTTAGGGAAATACATGTCAAATGATTGGTAGTAAATGTATCCTAAAATTGCTAGATTACTGTTAATGCAGTTTAATGGTTTATGCTAATGATAACTCTCTGCATGAGTTACCGAGCCATGCATCACTATGTCACCGCACACTGAACATGCATATGCCATATTTTTCACTAATATTCCCTCTCACAAAATGTACACACGTGTGATTCTGTACATGCACTGATGAGCAAGATGTTCCCTCTCACACCATAATGTTATCAAACAAACAAATGCGTTACATTTTCTACATTTACAAAATAGCTGTTTATGCCATTTCTTTAAAAAGCTAAATATACTGGAGGACATCCTTTTGGTCCAAACCATTGCCCAGAAGCGCCACAAGAGAGAATGTACCGCACCTGCACAAGAAGGAATTATGGGTGTGATTATTTCCGTGTGAATATTTTCATGGTGTTGTGGTTCCCTGCTAGGCTCATGCTGCTCGGGTAGCCCAGCAGCACTACAATCTGCAGCTGAAGAAGAAGGTGTGGTTCGGCTGGCAGACCCTGATCCAGAAACACTGGAAGGTCAAGGTGGAGCGGGCCTGTCGCGCGCGGGCAGAAGAGGTGTGCACCCGCTTGTCTGCAGAGTACGAGGCCAAGCTGGCAGAGGTAAATACGCAAGTTTCAAGGCTTTATCGTCATTTGCACATTAGCCACATTGTAGATATGGCAATGAAGAACTTAGGTCACAGGCTCTTTCAACAGTGCAACATTATGTCTAGAACAAATAAAACAGATAAAATAGTGCAAGAGAATGTTTTGAGATGTGCAAGTAAATACACAAAAAAAAAATAGTGCAAGAAGAGTCTACAGTGTTTCCCATACATTGATTTATTTGTGGCGGGNGGGCCGCCACAATTAAATATCGTCCGCCACAAATGGATCTCATTTATAAAAAAAAAAAAAAAGTATTATTATTAACATATATATATATATTATTTTTTTTATCTTTTTTTTGGTGGTGGTGGTGGTCTAATCATGGATAGTGAGGTGGGCTGATGATCGGAAGGTTGCGAGTTCAAATCCTGCCTGGAACACCACTACTAGTGTGCCCTTGAGCAAGGCACTTAGCCCTCGGTTACTCCAGGGAGAATGTCCCTGTAATTGGTCATTGTAAGTCGCTTCGGAATAAGGCGTCTGCTAAATGCCTAAATTGTAAATTATATTTTTGGGAGAATAAACCCCACAGATCCTCAACTCCGGTGTGTTTCACTCATTAACAACGCAACACAGAGCAACAAGAACGTTGTCTACAGCAGCCATGAACTCGCATGTATTTCGTGGGTGTGTGTGTGTGGTGTGTGTGTGGGTGTGTGTTGTGTGCTGCTGTGTGTTGTGTGTGTTTGCGTGTTGTGGTGTGATAAAAGGGGGCGTCTGGCACCACGGCAGGGACCAGCGAGGTGACTGGGACCTCTCCAAGTAGCAGTCCACACTCCATATTTTTTAGAGTTCTGTCAGCGGACTTGACCAGCGACCCTACGGCTCACAGTCCACGACTGAGGACAGACACATTTCAACTATAGGATCCAGTAGATGGCTAAACCCATGCCCTATTATGACTGTATTGTGTCGTTCTTTACTCTAACACCCTCTCCTAACTTGACAGGAGAACTTGATAAAAACATTTTGCATCATATAAAATATGTCTTAGAGACTGGATTTAGACCTCTCATCTTTCTAACTAAGACCAACATGCTGTTAACAATAGAGTGTATGTTTGAAGCTACACGGCAAAGGATTTTATGTTTTCTCTTGTTTTTTACGATGGTTCAAATTAGTATCGGAATAGTAATTCAAGCAATATCACTAACGTTTAATTTTTGTTTTTTTTTTTTTTTCGTTATGTTAAGGAGCGGCAGCGACGGGCCTGAAGAGATTCTGCCTTTTGGTCCTTTTCGTTTCATCAGCTAACGGCATCCGTTGAAACAGGCCTATATGGCCAGGCTAATTGACGACTTCCAGTGCGGATCATTAGGACCCTGACTAGTCTTTGTTGTAAATCGAACCTGCAGCTCCGCCCTCCATTGCTCTTACCGTCATTGTCCAAATTGTCTTCACGCGTTCTGCCGAAGCTCATGACTCAGCCCGTCAACTCTCAGAGGAACTTGAAGTGCTGAGGGGGGGGCGGTGGGCTAACGGGTCTGATAAGCATGCCAGCTGACACACACACAACACACACACACACCACAACCACACACACACACACACACACACGACACACACACACACACACCAAACAGTTTCCGTATCTTCAAGGCACACACGACATGTTTTTATCTGCCACATGCTGGCGATCGAACCAACAACCTTCTGTTTGGAGGCGACCGCACTCCCTCACAGCCACGTCGCCCTCCAAGTGGGACTTAAAATTACTCCTCAGAAAAACATTGGTTTGGGGTTCAAAAGAAGCTAAACAGGTGAACAACTGATGCAGCGTTCATGTGAGAACCACGTCAGGTTAGGTGAGAACACGTCGAGTCATGTTCACTGTAGGGCTCAGGCGCAGTGTTGTTTGACCTATCGCCCATCCCACCTTAAGTGTTCTTGTTTTGCTATCTAATATTATTGATGTTAGTTTACGTGAGTTCAATGTGAAGGCATTGCGCTTTGTTAGCATTA